AAAACAACCTATATAGGATGAAAATTATGTTTGAAAGCGTGCTAATTATCTTCAAACGCAGACGCAAAAAACTAGCTTTTAAAAATAAAATTTTGCTAATATTACACTGTAGTAAACATAATTATTTGCATGTACCACCAAACAGTCATCTATTTCTTATCAAGGGAAGGAAGCTTTTGGTGGTTCATTTTAATTCGACCATCGTATTAATTTAGCTATTATAGCTGCCATAAAAAGTCAATTCTACATAAAAGGTAAGTATTCTGCTAAAAATTCTGGTTGTTTAGAGGCAAAATTCTGCATGTATAATTTGCCTGTCTAGCTTTTTCCTCTTCCCCGCTTGCCCAAAATTATCTAATGATTTGAATATGGTCGCTGTTAATCAACGAACCGTTCTGTAGCTATTGGATTTCAAAAAAATATCAGGACAATAATCAAGAAAAGTTATTCGTCTGGAGCGTAGTCTATGTTTATTTAGGCTCATACTGCTTGTTAGAAGTTCCATGAACCAATTTTGACTAGTTGTTATTGAAAGTGATCCTTCTTTCCTAACGAAAATTATGTTTAAATAGCACTGGTACCGTCACCTTTAAATACTAAGATACTCTTACACAATGGCTTGAGACTATTTTATAAAAAATTCTGAAATAATTTTAAGTTCTGGTTTCCATAATGAAAATTAATCAAAAAGCAGTCTAATCTACGTGCATTGTCAAAGTCGATTATAATACACCATTTATTTAAACAGATAAGGAAAAATGTGTAATCGAATATGTTAAAGCAACAAGAGATTGATAAATAAGTAAATTCAGAAAACAACTTTAGACATTTAGATTAAAGGTATACTTTCCGCAACTTTTATTAAATGGTGAAGTAAAGTACAATACCATAAATTTAGATTTAAAAATAACGATAGGCAAAGTTCAAATAATTAATTAATGGGAAAAATTTAGTATTGAATCCAGAGATTAAGTTAAATTTTAAAAATATATGGACTTGAGAAAATCAAAGAATATTTATATAAAGAAAAAAAAAATCTTTTCTGTTCAACGTAAAAGCCCTAACAGCCACTGCGAGACACGCAAGACATTACAAACCAATGAATAAAACAGGACAAGGGATGCAGAAACACCCAGGGGCAAACAAGTCGACATCTTCATGTAAATAAGATAAAAAATAAAATAGAGCAAATTCCAACTAATGGCAAGTGAAACTTATACGAGGACTTACCCTGCAACCGGACGACTATAGGAACTTTAATGTTGAGCTCGGCGGCAGCGGCAACAATTCCTTGGGCAATTACATCACACCGCATAATACCACCGAAGATGTTTACTAGAATAGCGTGAACTTTGGAGTCGGAAGTTATAAGACGAAATGCCTCAGTCACCTGAGATGCGTTGGCTCCTCCGCCGACGTCTAGAAAGTTTGCTGGGCTGCCACCATGCAGCTTGATTATATCCATGGTTGCCATTGCCAGACCAGCACCATTCACTAATTCATAAAATACATAAGTATTACTTAAAGAGTAGTATATTAATTTATACATATATGAATAGGTATAAGTAAAATAATGAAAAAGAGAGTAAATTTAAATAAAGAACTAAAAAAGTATGGGCGAAAGTACGGGAGAAGACATAGAAAAGACCATTTATGAGAGGAGTGCACAGAGATACGTGATATTATAAATAAAAAAACATCCTCAAAGAAAAAAAAACACTAAAGAGGGAAAATGACAGGATCTTGAATTTAATTTTTCAATTGAGATAACTGCTAAATGATGTAGCAATGGACACTAGTGGCAAATATAGTAGTGTAGAAAATTTCTGAGACATGAATCCAATAAACTTATAAAAGGGACAATTTCATCACCGCTATATTTATATACCTATATACCTATATATATGTGTGTGTATATAGTAGATAAGCTGAGCAAGTTTTAGGACATTTTTTCCATCCTCAATACGAGGAGGCTGAGTAAATGGTGTTTCTGAGTATTTAAGTGATTCTGAAGTGAAAACGATACTCCCTTCCAGAATATCCAATACATTAATTCCAAGCAATACAATATATACATTAATTGAATTGTTGCAAAATATAAATGTGGATCAATAAGGCTAAGAAAATGAGTCACTTTTGACCAGTTAAAAGGGTTTCGGGCATCAAAATAAGCAGAAGACCTAACAATGCTATCAACAAGTAAGTGTCTTGCATCCCAAGGGCTTTTCAATTCGGATTGTAGCGAAATTTTAACAGTAGTGGCCTGAGAAGAATTCCAAATAAGACTATAAAACAGGCCGTGTGCACGATGCAGAAATTATAAATCTGCAGAGCTCACTCTCATTTTGATATATATTTTGCAATATGGTATAATTTCTTGTTCTTAATAAACAAAAATGGTGATAGAGAGGAATAATATTTTACTATTTATGGATGCTTTAGTTATTAGAACGAAGGTTAAGCAAAGATGTATGTAGCGAGCCAACACGCTGGCTTCATCCTCAATTTGTTCTTCACAGAGAAAAGTACGGTAATTTGAAATCTATGATTATACGGAGCAAAAGACTAACCGATAAGGACCATTTTGATAATCATCAAGATCGACTTAAACTAACATTATTTGAGAAAAATTATCCACTGGACTTGATTGAAAATAAAATACATTTC